TAACTCTTTTAAACTATTTTGAAATAGTTTATCAATATGTATTGTTTTTAATTGGTAAAAAGGAAATATATTGTTCGAGAAGAAGGAAAAGGCTGAATATAATCTCTGGGTCGTAATCCACTTTTTATTATGATACATTTTAGCAACCTAGGAGGCCTTCAAGGAACAGTCCATCATTTGAAGATTTTTTAAATTCAGTCCGCCATTATCATAAGAATTATATAGATACTGCCTTTTAATTTTATCTGGTTTATTATTCCATATGAATTTGAAAATTTTCTGTTCAAAGTGTTTCCATCCATCCATCCATTTTCTACCCTTTAATCCATTTCAATCTGAAGAGACCAAAGACACGATAAATACATTAAAATGATTTATTTGTTTGGCGCATTGACCCCGGCAGTGACACTTGCAGCTATGAGATCGATTGCAGCTGAGATGATCTCAGATCCCCCGGGGTCAATCACTGGTGGTGGTTAGAGTATGGTGTGAATGGGGCGTAGGCGGAGCAGGAGCCGGAGTGGGAGCCTAGAGCGGGAGCCAGAGCGGGAGCCAGAGCGGGAGCCAAGAGCCAGAGGGGGTGCTGGGGAGGTGGTGGGTGTTTAAGAGCCTCAGGAAGCGTTGTTTGTCAGGAAGTGGTTGCCTTTTAAACTGCCCGCTTTGCTCTGAGAGGGTTGGCAGGAGGCTGGCCTGGCTGTGTGATTGGCTGAGGCTCGAGGCTGGCAGAGCTGTGTGATTGGCTGAGGCTTGAGGCTGGCAGGCACTCGGTCTTTCAGTCTGAACATCCGCTTGAGCTTCATTTCTGGGTCAGGGGGGTGGCAGTCAGAGATGCCACCCAAGTCTCATAGCACCAGCCCCCTCACTGATCCTCTGCGGGTGGTGAGTCCACAGGAGCTGAGATCTTCCAGCGGGGGCTTTGGGCAAAGTGGGGTTAAGTGTCTTGCCCAAGGACACAACAACAGCAGTCATCAGTGGGAGTCGGTGGAGAAGGTGTAGAGGTGGGAATTGAACCCACGACCTTCTGGCCTTAAGGCCAATGCTCTACCAACTGAGCTACTGTCGCCCCGCCGTTCAAAGTGTTTGAAGAACTTAATGCTAGGTGAAGGAAGAAGCATTAGTAGGTGGACAGATTGTGGAATTACCAATGTATTAATCAACGTTACTTTCCCTTGAGTTGTCAGAAAGTTCCCCCTCCAAGGTTGTAAAATTCTATCTACCTTTTCCATCCTTCTCTCATAATTGTATTTAACAACTTCTTTAAAGTCATCAGGTAGATGAATCCCTAAAGTATCAACTCCTCCATTAGTCCATTTAACAGGAGCAGAACAGTTTAAAATGAAATTAGTGTCTTTTAACATCCCAATTCTCAAAATACTACATTTAGCAAAATTAGGTTTCAATCCAGATATTTTTGAAAACGTATTTAATTCCTTTATTAGTCCTTCCAAAGTGGATTGTATTGGTTTTATAAAAAAGGTTGCATCATCAGCATACATTGTCAGTTTAATCTCTTGGCCGTTTGGAAATAGACCTGGTATATCTGGATTGTTCCTAATTTTAATAGCTAGAATTTCAATACATAAAATAAAGAGATATGGTGACAAAGGACACCCTTGACGGACTCCTTGTGTTAATGAAAATGTATCTGATATATGACCGTTATTAATCACTCGACTAACCGGATGATAATAAAGCGTTTCAAACCACTGGATTACGTTTTTTCCAAAATTAAAAAAACCAAGACATTGTCTTATGAACTTCCATTGAACTTTGTCAAATGCCTTTTCAAAATCAGCAATAAACAATAATCCTGGTTCCTGATGTTTCTCATAAAAATATATCGTGTCAAGTATTTGTCTCAAGTTGTCTCCAATAAATCTTCCCTTAATAAAACCTGCTTGATCGTTATTTATAATACTTCCAATTATGTTTTTTATTCTTAAAGCAATACATTTAGATAAAATACGAGTATCACAACAGAGCAGGGTCAATGGACGCCAATTTTTTTAACAATTTGGGATCTTTATCAGAATCAGAATCAGAATCAGAATCATTTTTATTGCCACGTGAGTAACAAAGTTATCACTTGGAAATTGTTTTGGCAGAGAGCGTGCCACTTCGCCATTTGCGGCGCTGTGTGCAGCAAGAAACAGCAGAGAGCAATAACATACAGTTCACAAACAATTGGATAGACACATTGTGCTTTTTATAAACCACGGATTTTTTTCTCGGGAAGAGCACCTCTTCGGCCGGCCCAATGTAGCTGTCAGAGGGGGGCGGGATCAGGGAGGGGGTGAGTAGGAAAACAATAAGGAATGGAGGGGAGGGAGGGAGCAAGATGGATAGGTAGAGGGAGGCGGGGGTGGGGGATCCTTGCTGAAGACTGAAATAGTGTGAGTTGTTGTAGATTGTGGGACCTTGTTTATGGCCTTGGCTGAGGAATGTGAGATAAGAGTGGAGAGAGAAGCCACAGGAGGAGAAAAACACATCGCCTGCAATGTCGCAGTCAAAATCAGGCAGATATTCTATTAATTCCAATTAAACCGAATTCCGGTGCCCTCAGACCTCCGTACACAGGGGCAAATCCAAGCCGGGTCAGAGAGATCAAGCCTGACAAACAATGTCATTCAATCTCAATTCTAAGGTCTTATGTCCATCAAGTGAACGAGCTGCGAGGTCTTTGATCAACTGTTCCACCAACACCACTCTCCGTTGTCCAGACACGGCACTCTCAACCACGACACGGCTAAGCTCCTTGTACATCCCATCAATTTTATCGGCCAGCAGGTCGTGAATCTTGCGAACTGCCATGCCTCCGAATTTGTGGTAGAAGAGGATCGCTCCAAACCCAAACAGGAGGATTCCCGCCACCAAAATGCCAAAGATATATACGTCTTCCGAATCTTCAATGGACAGGGTCGACAGACAGAGGGGCTGCCACTTGTTCCAGCTGTCAAGTGTATACCCCGCTGGTGAAGTCCCGTCCGGACACACGGGCTCTCCAGACCCACGCTTACGAGTTGAAAAGATAGAATCAATTGCGTTGAGGGACCAATTAATCATTTCCATTCTGTTAGAGTTGTCTGTGGCAAAGCTCCAGGAAAAAAGACAAAAACAGGAGATAGCGATAGATAGAGATTTATATTTCCCATCAGGATTTTGTTTTAAGAGTATTGAGATAAACTCCCTCTCTTTGTGAATTGGATAAAATACCCTGTTGAAAGGAAAAATTGAAAGATGCTAATAGGGGTTTTTTAATTTCTGTAAAAAAAAATCTTATACATCTCAGTAGGAATACCGTCGATACCAGGAGATTTACCAGATGAAAACGAATTAATTGCCTCTAGTAACTCCTGTTCTGTTATTTCTCCTTCACAGCTTAATTGCTGGGAAGTAGAAAGCACAGAGACATTATTTAAAGGAAAATATTGCTCTGTCACATCACTAAGGGGCTCCAGTATTTCATCATTGCAATATAGAGCTTTAAAATATTCAAATTCTTCCTGTAATATTTCTTGTGAATTTGTGACTAAGACATTATCTCTATATAAACTCATATTCTTTTTAACAGAATTTCTTTGGTTTAACTGTAAAAAATGTGCCGTACACTTCTCTCCCTTCTCCATCCAAGCAGCATGTGACCTAAAAATAACTCTGTTTGCCCGTTCATGATAAAGACTCTCTAATTGACCTTATTTTCTTTTAATTAATATTTCTGGTTCAGTTGTTTGTAGATCCATCCACGCTGATATCAGGAGCTACTGACCCAAACATGTAGCTCCGCCCCTTCTGTCTAAAAGTTCTAGTCTCAGTCCTGTGAGACAAGAACTGAGACTAGAGTCCTTGATGTCACTTTACCACTCTACTGGCTGTATCCAGGACTGAGGCTGTAGACCCAGGACTGAGGCTGTAGACCCAGGACTGAGGCTGTGCTGTAGATCCAGGACTGAGGCTGTAGACCCAGGACTGAGGCTGTAGACCCAGGACTGAGGCTGTAGACCCAAGACTGAGGCTGTAGATCCAGGACTGAGGCTGTAGACCCAGGACTGAGGCTGTAGACCCAGGACTGAGGCTGTAGATCCAGGACTGAGGCCGTAGATCCAGGACTGAGGCTGTAGACCCAGGACTGAGGCTGTAGACCCAGGACTGAGGCTGTAGATCCAGGGCTGAGGCTGTAGACCCAGGACTGAGGCTGTAGATCCAGGACTGAGGCTGTAGACCCAGGACTGAGGCTGTAGACCCAGGACTGAGGCTGTAGATCCAGGGCTGAGGCTGTAGACCCAGGACTGAGGCTGTAGATCCAGGACTGAGGCTGTAGATCCAGGACTGAGGCTGTAGATCCAGGACTGAGGCTGTAGACCCAGGACTGAGGCTGTAGACCCAGGACTGAGGCTGTAGACCCAGGACTGAGGCTGTAGACCCAGGACTGAGACTGTAGACCCAGGACTGAGGCTGTAGACCCAAGACTGAGGCTGTAGACCCAAGACTGAGGCTGTAGACCCAAGACTGAGGCTGTAGACCCAAGACTGAGGCCACCACATGTTTTCTTTATCTCAGATTTGTGATATAGAATTATAATAGATTCTCATGAATATTTGTATTTTCTGATGAAGCTGAATCTAAAAATCTGTTTTGAGAGCAAGGAGCTAGCTTTAATCTCCCCGTTCCTTTTGGTGTGTGTTAAAAAAGTGTTTCCATCATTATTCTCGACACATCTGATAATCTCTGCAAACTTTTAATAGACAAATGAACTTTAATGTGTTCTTTGGAAACGCTCTGGGGCAAAAGAATGAACAATGTTTTATCTTTAAGGCACAACATGGGGAGAGAGGAGCTCATAGAGGACCTTTAATCAATGATATTACTGCAGATTGGCCCAAGGAGTGTCCAAATCTGTAATATTTATCTTCACGACAGATTTGACCTTTGTGTGACAGCTCTGGAGCTCCCCCGGTGGACGTCCAGGGACATGTCATCAAACGGCAGGAAGCTAGTGTCGTATGCTAATGTCCTGCAGACCAGACAAAAAACCAACACACCCGCTTCACCCGCGCTCTGCCATGACACCAGGCCTCACACACCGTCTCCACGGTTCAACATTCAGCTTATTTGCCATTTACAGTAAAACCACATTGGAATAACTGTGCAAGAAAACCCCAGTGTGCACCGATAGAACACATCAGAGCCACGGGGCCATGAGCTCGAGCATACAAACTCTAATCAGAAAGGCCTGTTCCGACCGGGATTCAAACTCAGGACCTTCTGTCTGAGAAGAGAGACTGCTAACCACTCAGCCACCTGATGATCATGGCATGTGAAGAGTGTTTGAGTCCTTTAAAGCATTATTATTATAGAGGAGAGAGGATGTAATAAAGGAGATTGCGTTCAGTGTGTGATATTCAGTTTGTTGATTGTTCTTCTGCTGAAAAAGTCCAAAATGTGCTCTGTGTGTTTATGTCCATGACAGAGGAATATTTATCTTTTCCTGTTCTAAAGGTCATTTATTTCTCTGATTTGACATGTTTGTGTCTGTGCAACATCTGTGTGTAATGTATGTTTTGGAGGTATCAATAAAGTAAATATCTAAAGGTAGATACTTTATTGATCCCCACAGGAGAAATGCAAGTGTCCAGTAGCAGCAAAAATTAAAAATTAAAATTGATCATTCTCCTGTGGGCCCACCACCTGCAGAGGGGTCTGTGGTGGCGAAGCGGTGCAGAGAGGACTGGGCGGCAGTCGAAGGCGGAGACCTCGGCGACCCAGTCCACACACACAACATCTGGCTCTTGGGACGTGGAACGTCACCTCACTGGGGGGGAAGGAGCCCGAGCTCGTGGGGGAGGTTGAGCGATACCGACTAGAGATAGTCGGCCTCACCTCCACACACAGCTTGGGCTCTGGAACCCAACTCCTTGAGAGGGGTTGGACGCTCCACTTTTCTGGAGTTTCCCGCGGGGAGAGGCGGCGAGCTGGGGTGGCCATTCTCATTGCCCCCCATCTCAGCCGCCACGTGTTGGAGTTCTCCCCGGTGAATGAGAGGGTCGCGTCCCTCCGCCTCCGGGTGGGGGACAAGTCTCTCACTGTTGTTGTGCCTACGGGCCTAACAGCAGTGCAGAGTACCCGGCCTTCTTGGAGTCCTTGGGAGGTGTACTGGACAGTGCACCGCCCGGGGACTCTTATTCTCATGGGGGACTTCAACGCCCACGTGGGAAATGCCAGTGACACTTGGAAAGGGGTGATCGGGAAGAACGGCCCCCCTGAACTAGTCACAGTTTGTCCATCACCAACACCATGTTCCAGCACAAGGGTGTCCACCAGGGGGCGCCGGACACCCTAGGCCGGAGGTCGATGATCGACTTAGTTGACCTTCGACCGCGTGTCTCGGACACTCGGGTAAAGAGAGGGGCGGAGCTGTCAACCGATCATCACCTGGTCGTGAGTTGGATCCGCTGGCAGGGGAAGAAGCCGGTCAGACCTGGCAGACCCAAGCGTATAGTGAGGGTCTGCTGGGAACGTCTCGCTGAGCCCCCTGTCAGACGGACTTTCAACTCACACCTCCGGGAGAGTTTCTCCCAGGTCCCGGCGGAGGAAGGGGATATTGAGTCCGAGTGGACCATGTTCTCTTCCTCTATCGCCGATGCGGCGGCTCGTAGCTGTGGTCGCAAGGTCTCTGGTGCTGGTCCCGGCGGCAACCCCCGAACCCGGTGGTGGACACCGGCAGTAAGGGATGCTGTCAGGCTGAAGAAGGAGTCCTATCGAGCCATGATGGTTCGGGGGACTCCTGAGGCAGCTGTCCAGTACCGGCAGGCCAAGCGTGCCACGGCCCGGGCTGTTGCAGAGGCAAAAACCCGGGACTGGGAGGAGTTCGGAGAGTCCATGGAGCATGACTATCGGTCGGCCTCGAAGAGATTCTGGCAAACCATCCGGCGCCTCAGGAGGGGGAAGCAGTTCTTTGCCAACACCATGTACGGTGCGTGTGGAGAGCTGCTGACCTCGACTGGGGATATTGTCGGGCGGTGGAAGGAATACTTTGAGGTTCATGGGCGGCACGGTGGCTGAGTGGATAGCACTCTCGCCTCTCAGCAAGAAGGTCCTGGGTTCGAATCCCGGTCGGACCAGGGCCTTTCTGAGTGGAGTTTGCATGTTCTCCCCGTGTCTGCGTAGGTTTCCTCCGGGTACTCCGGTTTCCCCTACCACTAAAAATATGTCCAATAGTTCTGGCATGCGCTTCCTGTACTGGCCCCGCTCCCATCTCTGTGTGGAGTGAGAGATAAATGCCCATAATTAACAATTGTAAACCGCTTTGAGACTCTGATCTGCAGTGAAAAGGCGGTATATAAATAAAAAAAACGTACGTACGTTCTCCTCAATCCCCCCGTCACCTCTTTATTGTTTATAACAATTCACTCCACCAGAAATAATCATTAATGGAGACAAATTGTTAATTGTGGACTCGACTAAATATTTAGGAGTTGAGCTTGACAGGACACTGTCTTTTAAGACGCACATTTCCAAAATGATCAAACGTATAAAATTTAGTTTGTCTCAATTTAGGGGAATCCGTCACCAGATGAGTCCAGATGCGGCAAAGCTTTTTATGCATTCAATGATTTTTTCACAATTCACTTATTGTTGCACATCCTGGTCATTGGCTCCAGACTCAGCAAGGCAGCCTCTTCTGAGTTTATACAAACAAGCTCTAAAGATTTTAGATTAAAAACCGAGGTCACATCATCATTGCAAAATTGTTGAGAAATATAAATTATTTACATTTGAGAGTGTTATCCAGTTTGCAAATATCTGTCTTATATATAAAATTTTCCAAAATGTGGCACCCCCACCACTAAATACATTTGTGAAAAGGTGTGAGGAGGTGAGAACCAGATCCACCAGAGCCACATCCAGGAACTCACTACCTCTGTCTGTGCGGGCCTGGAACTCACTACCTCTGTCTGTGAGGGCCTGGAACTCACTACCTCTGTCTGTGAGGGCCTGGAACTCACTACCTCTGTCTGTGCAGGCCTGGAACTCACTACCTCTGTCTGTGCAGGCCTGGAACACACTACCTCTGTCTGTGAGGGCCTGGAACTCACTACCTCTGTCTGTGAGGGCCTGGAACTCACTCTGTCTGTGCGGGCCTGGAACTCACTACCTCTGTCTGTGCGGGCCTGGAACTCACTCCCTCTGTCTGTGAGGGCCTGGAACTCACTCTGTCTGTGCGGGCCTGGAACTCACTCTGTCTGTGCAGGCCTGGAACTCACTACCTCTGTCTGTGCAGGCCTGGAACACACTACCTCTGTCTGTGAGGGCCTGGAACTCACTACCTCTGTCTGTGAGGGCCTGGAACTCACTCTGTCTGTGCGGGCCTGGAACTCACTACCTCTGTCTGTGCGGGCCTGGAACTCACTACCTCTGTCTGTGCGGGCCTGGAACTCACTACCTCTGTCTGTGCAGGCCTGGAACTCACTACCTCTGTCTGTGAGGGCCTGGAACTCACTCTGTCTGTGCGGGCCTGGAACTCACTACCTCTGTCTGTGCGGGCCTGGAACTCACTCCCTCTGTCTGTGAGGGCCTGGAACTCACTCTGTCTGTGCGGGCCTGGAACTCACTACCTCTGTCTGTGCGGGCCTGGAACTCACTACCTCTGTCTGTGCGGGCCTGGAACTCACTACCTCTGTCTGTGCAGGCCTGGAACTCACTACCTCTGTCTGTGAGGGCCTGGAACTCACTACCTCTGTCTGTGAGGGCCTGGAACTCACTCTGTCTGTGCGGGCCTGGAACTCACTACCTCTGTCTGTGCGGGCCTGGAACTCACTACCTCTGTCTGTGCGGGCCTGGAACTCACTACCTCTGTCTGTGAGGGCCTGGAACTCACTACCTCTGTCTGTGAGGGCCTGGAACTCACTACCTCTGTCTGTGAGGGCCTGGAACTCACTCTGTCTGTGCGGGCCTGGAACTCACTACCTCTGTCTGTGAGGGCCTGGAACTCACTCCCTCTGTCTGTGAGGGCCTGGAACTCACTCCCTCTGTCTGTGAGGGCCTGGAACTCACTACCTCTGTCTGTGAGGGCCTGGAACTCACTACCTCTGTCTGTGCAGGCCTGGAACTCACTACCTCTGTCTGTGAGGGCCTGGAACTCACTACCTCTGTCTGTGAGGGCCTGGAACTCACTACCTCTGTCTGTGAGGGCCTGGAACTCACTACCTCTGTCTGTGCAGGCCTGGAACTCACTACCTCTGTCTGTGAGGGCCTGGAACTCACTACCTCTGTCTGTGAGGGCCTGGAACTCACTCTGTCTGTGCGGGCCTGGAACTCACTACCTCTGTCTGTGCGGGCCTGGAACTCACTCCCTCTGTCTGTGAGGGCCTGGAACTCACTCCCTCTGTCTGTGAGGGCCTGGAACTCACTACCTCTGTCTGTGAGGGCCTGGAACTCACTACCTCTGTCTGTGCAGGCCTGGAACTCACTACCTCTGTCTGTGAGGGCCTGGAACTCACTACCTCTGTCTGTGAGGGCCTGGAACTCACTCTGTCTGTGCGGGCCTGGAACTCACTACCTCTGTCTGTGCGGGCCTGGAACTCACTCCCTCTGTCTGTGAGGGCCTGGAACTCACTCCCTCTGTCTGTGAGGGCCTGGAACTCACTACCTCTGTCTGTGCGGGCCTGGAACTCACTACCTCTGTCTGTGCGGGCCTGGAACTCACTCCCTCTGTCTGTGAGGGCCTGGAACTCACTCCCTCTGTCTGTGAGGGCCTGGAACTCACTACCTCTGTCTGTGAGGGCCTGGAACTCACTACCTCTGTCTGTGAGGGCCTGGAACTCACTACCTCTGTCTGTGAGGGCCTGGAACTCACTACCTCTGTCTGTGCGGGCCTGGAACTCACTCCCTCTGTCTGTGCGGGCCTGGAACTCACTCCCTCTGTCTGTGAGGGCCTGGAACTCACTCCCTCTGTCTGTGCGGGCCTGGAACTCACTCCCTCTGTCTGTGAGGGCCTGGAACTCACTCCCTCTGTCTGTGCGGGCCTGGAACTCACTCCCTCTGTCTGTGCGGGCCTGGAACTCACTCCCTCTGTCTGTGCGGGCCTGGAACTCACTCCCTCTGTCTGTGCGGGCCTGGAACTCACTCCCTCTGTCTGTGCGGGCCTGGAACTCACTCCCTCTGTCTGTGCGGGAGAGTAGCTCACTAGGACAGTTTAAACTCAGCCTAAAAGACTGGCTCAAAGAGAATCAAGTCTGTCGTCATTAGTCAGATGTAAATAATTGTGTTATGTATATTTTGTGTGTATTGAATTGTGTCTGTGTGATTAGAGGTGTTGTATTTTATCTGTATTTTAATTAGGCCATTCATTCTTTCTATTTATCAATTCTTTACATACTGTAAACCTGTCACGTTGCCTCTGCCTCAGGGACTACGGATGAAAATTAGCTTGTGGCTATATCCGGTCTGAACAATACATTTATTGTGCAATGTCCCTGTCAAATAAACAAATAAATAAAAAACATAAAAATAAAAAAATAACACAATGGATTGATGATGAGAGTGAATTATAAAAGTACCACATAAGTACCTCACTAAACCACACTACAGATGTTGAGCATATTTTAATTGTAGCTCAGGCGTAGATCCAAGGCCTTTGGACAACGAGACGGAGACAGTGACCACGAGCTCGAGATCAGAGGCTTTCACTGAATATGACGAAGAAGAAGCCAATCCTTGAGATATTAAAACTAGACTGAACAATATTGAAACGACCGAGGTGACTTAAAATTCCTTTCATCTGATTCCCAGTGACCAGAGGATTTGTTTCTCTTTGAGCGCTACACTTTTCTCACACGAAATCTACAAGAATGAATTACTCTAAAAGGAACTTTGAGTAAACGACTCGGAGAAATGCAGTGTTTCGTTTTAATGTTGCCGCTTGAGCCGAGGGCGATCCACCTCAAACCAGCGTTGTGCCTGTGGCTGTTATAAGGATGTGATATTTATAGGTTCAACTCCCAACCGTGTCCGAATGTGCTGCAGTTTAACACAGACTCTGAGATAAAACTGTCAAGCCTCGAGCGGGAAAAGGTGAAATCTGCTGCATGTATTTTCACACATGTAAATATATATGCCTTTTCTCTGTTCATGCACGAGTGGGCCTCCTACACACACACACACACACACACACACACACACACACACACAGAGAGAGACACACACCACAACACACACTTTTTTGGTGTAGAGCATGTGCACCCCTGTCCCAAGACAAATTTCTCCTGTGTGAATAAAGTAGTATCTTATCTCTGATCTTATCTTACACCAAGAGACACACACACACTCTCTCTCTCACACACACATACACAGACAGATAGAGACACACACACTACAACATACACACAGAGATAGAGATAGAGACACACACACACACACACACATAAAGAGAGAGTGGGGGACAGAGGGACAGATAGAGAGAGAGACACACACAGAATCAGAATTATTTTTATTGCCACGTAAGTAACAGGAGGTCACAGACTTGGAAATTGCTTTGGCTCAGTGCAACAGTCAGAAAGAGATAATAAAAAAATAAATAAAAAACACTTCTAAAGAATAATTTAAATTTAAAATAGAGTTACAGTTACTATTTACAACAAGTGCACATGGTGCACACAATGTAAGGTGACAGCAGTACAGTGAAGTAAAGTGACGTATGATGGGCAGTAAAGTGACTTTATAAAGGGCGGGGGGACAGGTTAAGAAGTGTTCAAGAGTCCAACAGCAGAGGGGAAGAAACTGTTCTTGTGGCGGGAGGTTCTAGTCCTGATGGACCGCAGCCTCCTGCCTGAGGGGAGTGGTTGGAATAGTCCATGTGCAGGTGAGAGGGGAGTGGTTGGAATAGTCCATGTGCAGGTGAGAGGGGTCGGCTGTGATACGACCAGCCCGGCCTCGAGCTCGGGCGACGTACAGGTCCTGCAGCGATGGAAGGCTGCGGCCGATCACTTCCTCTGCAGAGCGCACAATGCACTGTAGTCTCTGTTTGTCCCTGACTGTGGCTCCAGCGAACCACACGGTGACGGAGGAGGTGATGGAGGAGGTGATGGAGGTGATGGAGGAGGTGATGGTGGAGGTGATGGAGGAGGTGATGGAGGAGGTGATGGAGGAGGTGATGGAGGAGGAGATGGAGGAGGTGATGGAGGAGGTGATGGAGGAGGTGATGGAGGAGGTGATGGAGGAGGTGATGAGGAGGTGATGGAGGAGGTGATGGAGGAGGTGATGGAGGAGGTGAGGATGGACTCGATGATGGCCGTGTAGAACTGCAGCTTGGCTTTCCTGAGCTGCCGCAGGAAGTACATCCTCTGCTGGGCCTTCTTGATGAGGGAGCTGATGGTCGGCTCCCACTTGAGGTCCTGGGTGATGGTGGTGCCCAGGAAACGGAAGGACTCCACAGAGGTGATGGGGGAGTCCATCACGGAGGGTGGGGGCGGGGGGACAGTGCTCTTCCTGAAGTCCACAATCATCTCCACTGTCTTCTGGGCGTTCGCTCCAGGTTGTTACCACTGCACCAGGACACCAGCCGGTCCACCTCCCTCCTGTAGGAGACACCAGGACACCAGCCGGTCCACCTCCCTCCTGTAGGAGACACCAGGACACCAGCCGGTCCACCTCCCTCCTGTAGGAGACACCAGGACACCAGCCGGTCCACCTCCTCCTGTAGGAGACACCAGGACACCAGCCGGTCCACCTCCCTCCTGTAGGAGACACCAGGACACCAGCCGGTCCACCTCCCTCCTGTAGGAGACACCAGGACACCAGCCGGTCCACCTCCCTCCTGTAGGCGGACTCATCGTTGTTGGAGATGAGTCCAATGAGGGTGGTGTCGTCCGCGAACTTGATCAGCTTCACGGAGTCGTGGCTGGAGGTGCAGTGGTTGGTGTACAGGGAGAAGAGCAGGGGAGAAAGAACACAGCCCTGTGGGGCTCCTGTATTTATAATCCGAGAGTCCGAGACATTCTTCCCCAGACGCACTCGCTGCTTCCTGTCCGTCAGGAAGTCAGTGATCCACCTGCAGGTGGAATCGGGCACGTTGAGCTGGGAGAGCTTGTCCTGGAGCAGGGATGGCAGGATTGTGTTGAAGGCAGAGCTGAAGTCCACGAACAGGACCCTGGCGTAGGTCCCCGGGGAGTCCAGGTGCTGTAGGATGTGGTGGAGGGCCAGGTTAATGGCGTCGTCTACAGATCTGTTGGCTCTGTAGGCGAACTGCAGGGGGTCCAGGAGGGGGGAGGTGAAGGACTTGAGATGGGAGAGAACCAGGCGTTCAAATGACTTCATGACGACAGACGTAAGTGCTACAGGTCTGTAGTCGTTGAGTCCTGTGATCCTGGGCTTCTTCGGGACGGGGACAATGATGGAGGATTTGAAGCAGGCCGGGACATGGCAGGACTGCAGAGAGGTGTTGAAAATGTCCGTGAACACAGGAGTAAGCTCACTGGCGCAGTGTCTCAGAGTGGCCGGAGACACGTGGTCCGGGCCAGGAGCTTTGCGGGGGTGCAGCCTCAGGAAGAGTTGTTTAATCTCTTTAGAGGCTATTGTTAGGCTGGGGGCAGGGCTGATGGGTGGGTCGTTAGAGTAGTGGGGGGTGGGGGAGGGGGAGGTGTCAGGGGCAGCATCAAATAGCGCTTTTCCACAGCACCGGCACTACACCACTCTACACGACACGGCGCGTTACTTTTGCATTTCCACTAGCGTTGAAGCTAGGTATTGTGTTCTATTTTCGGACCGCCTCGGGAGCGGTTCCAAAAAGCTACACTCTCGTGACGTAAGCGGACTGCCTACGCTATTGGCCAACGGCTCTCTCACACTATTGGCCAACGACTGTCGTCACTGGTAGCGTCATAAGTGCGACGTCTGACCGTATTGAGAGACAAGATTCAACCCCGCCATTTTTAAAACTGCCCTGTGAGCATACGCACTGCACTCCGCTTCGAGAAATGGAATCCAGCAAGCCGCAAAAGTCCACACCGTGGTCTGTTGATGAGGTCCAAACATTTCTGTCTTTACTGGCCGAAGACAGAATACAGAAGGAGCTCGATGGCAGTACGCGAAATGAGAAGGTCTATAAAGAGATCGCCCAGCTCTTGCTCACACACGGTTACCACCGTACGCATCAGCAGTGCAGGGACAAGATTAAAAAGATGAAGTGCGATTACCGGGCCATAAAGGACCACAACGGCCGAAGTGGGGTCAATCGGAAGACCTGGAGGTGGTATGCCGAGATGGATGCCATTTATGGCCACAGGCCTGCAAACAATGGACGGGAGTGTGCTCTGGACTCTTCTACCACGTCGAGAATGGGCGATAATGGTAAGTGCTTTGTAACTTTTATCTGTAGTTATTGTGAAAATGCATTATCACGTAACCTGTGGCTCAATGCCCACTGGAATGTATTTATTCATGTAAACGTTTGATTGTTGTCTGCTGTACAAAGTGAGCTAGCTACTTTAAGCTATCGATAGCAAGCTGCTAACACGTGCTACATCTTGCCATTTCACGTATTGCCATTCAGTTTTGTGCTTTTACTTAAGTCGTTGTGTGTGTTTGTCTTATTATAGAATCCCTTGTCTGGAGATGCGTTCCCTTCGATGGCGAGCGACACGTCTAGCAGCGCACAGCGTGTGGTCACGGGTAAGGCGCAGGGCAGACATAATACATGATCGATAGATATTTTATTCATCACCCTGGGAGAAATTCATGTCCTATAGCAGCAAAAAAAAAACAATACAACTACACTGATACTGTGCCGCAACAGTGCAGCTCTATACCGACACCTGGTGGATCTCAGAAGTAATAGCATTCAACTCGGTGAAGTATGTCCAATTAATGCATATTTTGGACACTATCACCCTAGCTTTAGAGAATGTCAATAAAAAAGGAATCGAACCACCTGTCAGTGATCTTTTTCCAAATAAAAAATCTAATTTGTGATAAAATACCACTTCACTTTGGTGTGAAAAAGAAATGCAGCAAAATGTAATTTTAGCTGCACTGACTGATTTGATTAATCTGGGTGTATTTAAGTCATGCTCATGCTTTGTCCTAAAATGCCTAAACATTGACCATTAAATATTGTTTATTGACAAAGCGTGAAACATGACATACAAACATTACCCGATTTGCAATTAAGTCAAATGATCCCACACGTAACACTTTCTTTTAGTGGAGGTTTTTCCTCTTTGAAAGGGTAGTTGTTGCAACATCTCGGGTAGTGTGATATATACTGTTCTGAAACGTAATAATCTTTTTGCCTACATAAAAGTATGTCTCCAGAAATGTCACTGCTTTGGATAATTACCAACTGTTAATACTTTTTTTATTGTTGTACAGGGAAGAGAAAAAGGGCGCTCTTCCAGACGGAGACTGTAGAAATGATGAGGCAGATCCAAGCTGAAGATGTGGTGCAGCAGGAGCTGAACCGGACACAGCAACTCCAGCTTGTCAGAGAGTCGCAAGAGTTGGAAGCGACATTGAGGAGGGAGGAAAATGCACAGGCGGCTGCATTTAACCAATCATTTCTTGGTCTCCTGGGCCAGCTGGTGGAAGCCATGAGTGGCCGCCGAAACTGACACTCTTCACCAAGACACTTTGTAAATAATTTTATTGGTGCACTTTAAAATTTTGTTTTTTTTAAATAAATGTGTGATTTTTTCCAAGACAGGTTTCATTTCTCGGTACACATGACAGTTAACATGCAAACCAAAGGTTTCACATTATTTGTTGTCAGTAAATCCTTAATTGTGGTAAATTTAGGAATAGAAGGTTTATTTATTCCCAGTCATGAAGTGAGGAGCCTACAGGGAACAATACAGACTACTGATAATGTACAGTGTTGGTTACAATACAATAAGCTAGGAAAGTGGGTAAGAAAGGCACGATAAAGAGTTTGTGTGTGCACGTGCGAGTGGCTGATCCAAATCTGAAAGGGAATAAAGGTATTTGTAATGGTGGGAATGGTTAATGGGTGTATGATTGAAAATGTATGAATTAATATTTCATTAATATGCAATATTGGACTTCCGGTTATGGCGGCCATGTGAGAAGACGTGTTTTCCTCCGCTCCGCTATTTGTGCTACTTTCTGATACAAAACTTTTTTCTTAGATGCTAAATGTGATTTATCACTACTCCTAACTCTCAAGGATGCCTCCAAAAGCGATAAAAACTCCGCAGGATGTCAACGAAAAGGCAAAACAACCCAAGCTAACAGACTACGCTCTCCGTGATCAGCAAAAAGCTAATGCTAACGATAGCAGCGCCACTGCACAGTTAGCTGGGGCTACAGGTACGGAGGGGAAATCTCAGGACAGTAAGGTGGATGAAATTCTAGCTATCGTCACCACTATCAAAACAGACTTGGACAACATTCGTGGAGAGATGAAGGACTGTGTGAAAAGAGTTAATGAAGCTGAAACCCGCATTTCTAATGCGGAGGACGAAGTGGAGATCCTGCGGGCTAAAACACGTGCTATGGAAGCGAAACAGAAAGCGCTCGAGGAAAAAATGCTGGATTTGGAGTCGCGGTCCAGGCGCAACAACTTGAGACTCGCTTTTCTGCCAGAGGGGTCTGAAGGACGAGACCCCTGTAAGTTCTTGGAAAAGTGGCTACCGGAGACATTTGGTCGTGAAATCTATGCTACTCCCTTTATCATTGAGAGAGCCCACAAGATTGGCCCGAGACGGGTCAACAATGAAGCGCCCCGTGTTCTGATCATGAAATTCCTTAACTATAGGGATAAGATGGCTACAGTTACTGCGGCGAGAGCAAAAGGGAACATTCACTACGAGGAGCAACAAGTACGGTTCTATCCTGATCTTGCTGCGGAGGTACACCAGCAACGCAAACTGTTTGATCCCATCCGCGAAGAGCTGCGCAAACTGGGACTAAGACACGGACTACTCCACCCGGCAAAGCTGCTGGTGACTCAAGATGGAAAGACTTTTGCCTTCAAAACACCAGCGGAGGCTTGGAATTTCATACGTAAGACCCAGAATGTGGAAGATCCATAAGGTTGTAATCCATGCCATTATTTGTTGTGTTTGTAAGTATCAATCAATCAATCAATCTTTATTTATAGGGCGCTTTTCCTGCACAGGGCAACACAAAGCGCCTCACAGTCCACACCACACAATGCACAAATCATCACCATTAAAATACAATTAAAAACACATATGTAATTAAAAAGCATTAAAATCACAT